TGGAACTAGAGGTTGAACTCAGGGGCTACTTGAGTCATGCCCCCAGCCCTTTTTGTGTTGGTCATTTATTTATTTTTGGTGATACTGGGCCTTGAACTCGGGGCCTCAAGCTTGCTAGACAAGTGGTCTACCACTTGAGCCACTCCTCCAGGCCATTTTTTGTGATTTTTTTTTCAAGATAGGGTGTCATGAATTATTTGCTGGGGTCTGGCTTTGAACTGTGAGCCTCTTGATCTCTACCTCCCCAGTTGCTAGGATTACAGGTATGAACCACCAGCACCTTGCTTTGTGTTGGTTATTTTTGAGACAGGCTCTCACTTTATACCCAGACCAGCCTGACCCACAGTCCAATTTATGCCTCCCCATGTAACTGGGGTAATAGCCACACACCACTGTATTCAGCTACTGGTTGAGATTGGGGTCTCATGAACTTTTTGACCAGATTGGCTTGAGCCTCAATCCTCCAATCTCTGCCACCTGAATAGTTAGGATTAAAGGTTTTAGCCTGGCCCCGGTTGGGTTTTAAATGGCAGCTTTCTGGGCTTTTGTATGGGACACTCATGCATGATTGAATTGATTGAACATTTTATATGGTAAGTTAGTCAAGCAGGTAGCAGTCTGGTCCTTCTAGCTGAAACTGCCTATCCATATTCCCTGCTCAGGGTGTCTGAGCTAGCCAAGGTTCTAAATTTAGAAGAAACTGATCGGTTCCAGAGTGTACACCTCACTAAAGGCAGCCCCACTATAGGCTGACCTGTGGCCAATGAGGTTATATGGTGCCATTGATTCTGACCAATAAGTTTGCAGTAATTAAATGTAGGAAGCTTCTTTCCTCTAGGATTGGGGCGGTGTACAGAGAGTCTCTGAACTCTAAGAGAGATGGAGAGCATAGTCTCTGGCTCAGATGGCTTTTCATTTCTTAGCTTGTCACTTATTCACTCCTTCACTCAGCCAATTCTTATTGGTAAGCCAGACCCTGTACCAGGTCACTTTTGAAATCCAATGTAACTCCTGCTCTCCTAGTGCACGTAGTCCAGAGAAGATGGACATTAAAATAACCACAAATAATGGGAATCATTTTAAATTTTGGCAAAATATAAAGAAAAGTTATAGGGAGTGATGAAAGATCCATCAGGGACCTCTGACTAGTCTGGGAGTTGGGAAGGGCTTCCCTGAGGAGTTAAGTTTGAGCTGAGAAGTGGGGTACTGGTAGGAATTAATGAGTTGGTGGGTGAATTTAGAGGGAAAAGGTATTCAGGGCAAAGAGGCCAGCATGTGCAAAGGTCCTGAGGTAGGAGGAAGTATGGCATGTTTAAGGGACTGTCATAAGTGAGGCTGGCATGGAGTATAACTGGACATCAAATGCCTTTTGCATCTATCTGTAAACCCTAACTGTGACCTGGTGGTGGCGGGGCCTCTCTTGATTCAAATGGACAGAAGCACCTATTATATACCCCTGGTTTCAGAGTAGCCTAAGATCAGTGAAGTAGCTTCATCCTGGCTCTACCATTCACTAGCTGTGTAACCTTGGAAAAGTTACTTAGTGTCTCTGAGGTTTGCTTTGTACAGCTACAAATGAAGCTGACAAAAACGTCTGCACAGGGCTGTGTGGAGAGTTAAGTGAGATAATGCCTTCACCTGCCTAACTTGGTTTATACCACTTAATAGGAGCTTAGTGCACACTTTTTTTTTCTTTTATTTATATGTGCATACAATGTTTGGCTCATTTCTTCCCCCTTCCCCCCGCCCCCTCCCTTACCTACCCCGCCCTAGAGCACACTTTTGATAGTAGTCCGATGCTAAAATCAAAGCACTAAGGCACAATAAAATCATACCTCCCTGTGCACTCCAGGAAGGGTGGAGGGGAGGACAAGATTAATACAGTATTCATAATACTGAGACAAGCCAAGAAGAGGCTGGGGTTGTAGCATGGGTGACACAGCCGTATCTACAGGCCGGCACATCTGGGCAAAGAAGAAAGGTTGGATCTGGAGCTGAGGGGACGAGTGGGCTGGGGACAGTGGTCTAACTGCAGAGGCCAGCTCCAGTGTGGGACAAAGTCTAGCAAACAATCATCAGTATCATGAACTCCATAAAGATGGAGGAGGTTCAGTGGTGCTCAGGCTTGAATGGATGGAGGAAGACAGTCACCGTGACACAGAAGTCATGTTCATCATGACCTGCAGGTGGGGGCCGGGAGGGTCTATGTTGCACCTTTGAGTAATTTATCTGACTGTGCCAGGGCTCGCCCGCAGCACATCGGCAGCAGAATTCAAGGTGATCCTTAGGCAAGAAGTCAGGGACTCAGCCATGTAGCTGGAGTTCTGGACAGAAAGAATTACAGAACTTGGCCGAGTCACTGAGAAGGCAAAGAAACCCAGCCCCACAGATGAGTCCTTCAGAGTGAGATGGAGAGCAGCAACGCACAGGCTTCTAAGTAATTACACCCCACCTCATCCCATAAATGCGTCCTGCTATAGTTAATCTTTAAATAGGGCTTAAATGGGTTTGTATAATTTTGTTCTTTTTTAAAGTCTCTGAGGAAATGGAAGTAAAAGAAAAATACAACTGGGAAATTTTGATGAAACCAAGTTGTAGTTAATACCAAAATTACTTGCCATATGCTGAGCATCTCTGTAATCCCAGCACTTGGGAGGCTGAGGCAAGAAGATCATGAGTTTGAGGCAAGTCTGGGCTACATAGTGAAACCCTGTCTCAAAAAACCAACATAGGTTAGGTATGGTGGTACATAGCTGTAATCCCAGACGTGTGGGAGGCATAGGTAGGAGAATCTCTGTCCAAGGCCATCCCAGGGCATAAATGTGAGACCCTATCCAAAAACATAACTAAAGCAAAAAAAGAGTAGGCAAGAGCGCCTGCCTACCATGAGGTCCTGAGTTCAAACCCCAGTACTGCCAAAAATATAAAAACCATGCCACAGGCTCTTATTTATACTGCCAGAGGTGGGTGAAAATTTTAGTTCTGAGCTACCTATTGGCCTGAGCAAAAAGGCAAACAGGCAGTCATAAGCTTTATAATGTTCAGAAGATAAACCACTAACAACTCATAGAGGATAGCTGAGGAGACATTTTTCCAGGGTCCTCACACAGAGGAGACCCACATGTGCACAGGGAACCTGCCAGCACTCAGGATACTGGGTTGAGGCTTCTCATACGTCTCCTGTCCCCCACTGGACCTGGCTCAAGTGATGGGAAGTAGAATAAATAGAATAAGGACTAACATCTTACTCTGCAAGCCCCAACTCTACCTGACAGGATGCTGGAGACCCACAGAGGGGTCTTTCCAGCCCGAGTGAAGAAGCTGAACACCATCAGCTTGAATTCTCCACTTGGCACTGGAAGCCAGCATCAAGCTGATCCTGGCAAAATGGAGGTGCAATTAATGAAGAGACTATTAAGATGAGTGAGAGTTTCAGAGCTGTCCCCAGCTGCAGGGCTTCACTTGGCTTATCCCTGGTGACTCACCAGCTTATAAGCAATCCCTCATCTGCCTGATTCTGAGTACTTACTCACCCTTCAGAGAAAGACTTAATGCAATAAAGCAAATGTCAGCAAGTGGGACACAGCTTAGGACATCACCCAGCCTGCATCCTGGCCCTCTCTGCTTGAGGCTCCCAGCCTCTCAGCACCTGGCTGGCTGCACAGCAGGCAGGCTCCTGGTCATACTCAAGCCTGGTTAAAGGCTCAGAGATGTGAAAAACAGTGAGGCATCAGCAAGACCAGACCCAGAAGTCTGGTCCATAGTGGGCGGAGGGAGTTTAGCTCCAAAGTGCTGGATGAGAATGAGGGTAACGGCTACACCAGGACTTCTCACTCCCTGTCCAGCGCTCTCCATTGTGGAAGTCCTGCCTGGATTAAACAATTGAGGGAGCAGCTTAAAGACATTTGGTTTCCATGGTGTACTGACATTATCTCAGTGGGTTTTCCAGAAAAACTGGAGGCCCTGAGGGGTGAAGGGCAAGGCCTAAAGCAGAGCTTTTCTTTTCCTTTTTTTTTTTTTTTTTTTTTTTTGTGGTACTGGGGCTTGAACTCAGGGCCTTCACCTTGAGCCACCCCACCAGCCCAATTTTTTGTGATAAGGTTTTTTGAGATAGGATCTTGGTATTTGCCCAGGGTGGCTTTGAACCTTGATCCTCCTGAGTAGCTAGGATTCCAGGCATGAGCCACAGGTGCCTGCCATGAAGCAGAGCTTTTGAGGAGAGTTATAGTGCTGGGCGAGTTGAGCTCTTGCCATCAATTCTTGCTGTTTGCCCACAAGGGGCATATTGGGGGAGCTGGAGGTCTTGCTGGGCCCTCTGGAATTGAGGGATTTGGCTGGAATCACTGCTGACTGGAGTTCCCCCACTAGGGAACATGCCCCAAGAATTAGGCAGTGCAAGCTGAGGGGAGGAAGTCAATGCTGCTCTTTCCTTTCTCCACCATTGCAGAGGAAATTACTCAGGCCAGTCAAGCTGCTCATAGAGGAATTTACGTAGGAACTCTTGAGGAAATTTTCTGAAGAATTAGTTGTAAAGGTAGAAAGTGGGGAAAGGGGGCAGATCTTTAAGGTGAACCTTCACCTAGTCCACGTCTCCATCCCCTGACCATCTTTATCTAGCCTTTTTGGAGTCTTCTACATGCAAGGTGATCAGGAAGGAGGCTGGCCACAACTTGGCACTCAAGATTTCAAGGAACTCTCAGGATCATCTAGCTTGTTCCATTCCACTGCACAGATGAAGAATCCAAAGCTCAAGCTGAGCTCTCTGCCTGGCATGATAGGTGCAAAAAGCCCAGAGTGAGTAGCTGCTCTGATCACCTCCCAGAGAGGCTGTGCCCACAGCCTTTTGTTAAAGAACACTGACTTCTGAGCAGACACAGGCTCATACCTACAGCCACACAACTGCCATCCTCATCCATTGCTCATTTGGAAATAAAACCCAGCAAAGCAGGCTAGCTCCTTGCCCAAATGCCTTACCCCAGCTCACCAACAACACAAAGAAGTGCCTTTATCTTTTGCAGTTTTTATTTTGCACTATATAAAAAACAACCAGTAACATACTGCTTTTCTTCACATTTACATGGGTTTTAGGAAATTATTGCCTTTTCCCCTGGAGAAATAACCTACGGACAGAAAAGAAGTAGTACCACATCACAAATCTGTAAATCCCAGAAATCAGTAGCTTGAAGACAACCCCCAGGGGCAGGGAGGAAACCAAGTGTTCACAAGAGATGAGACACAAGCACACAGGATGGCGAGCTGGATGACCTGCAATGCCACTGACCCCAAACACCCAGCAGACATCCTTTTTCTCTGGGTACCCACTGCTACCACCTCAAAGGGGTGATTTTTGGGTAAGGTCTGAAAACTCTTTTCAACTGACACCAGAGTTCCTTTGAGGTGAGATGCAATGAGACAGGTTCAAGTATGAATAAAAATCATGCCAGAGTTCAAGGTCAGGGAAGAACCCACAGTGAAAGAGAAACTCAGAAGAGTCAATTTCTTTCTTGCTTCTTCCACCAACTGCCTCCATTGGACCCAAGAGGAAATCTCCAAAAACAGTTTGGGGTTCATATCAGCCTACACATGGTATCTCTGCAAACCCAGCAGGGTGACTTTCCTGACTAGATGGTGATCAGCTTATGCCCTGAAGCAAGAGACAGGCACAAGACTGCCAAGTTCAAAAAATATAAGGTGGAAATTGTGCTTCCTTCGAAATGAACTGGCTTCCTAACTGCCTTTTATCCTGGTCTGGGAGCTTCTCACTCCTATGATGCTGCAGGTACTTATTGCCTTACGCTTGAAATGAAAAGGCGAACTCTGAGGTGCAAGGATTGGGTGGTCCTGAGAGGGCAGGGGGTCTGGAAGTACAGTAGTCAGCACACACTGTGCTCTAGTAATGGCTTGGCCTTCCTCCATCCCGAGAACTCATCCTTGAAGTCAGTCTGAAGTTCATTTGCAAGCCTGGTGACACTCACTGTCTCTATGGGGCAGCATGACAGAGAGGTCTTCAGTATTGCACAGGTATGAAATGTCCACGAGTTTGAAAAAACAAAAATCACAGTTGCTCTTGAGGCTGGGCCAGGACCCCTCCCAGTGTCAGCACGATGTGGCAGTGGCCACAGAGCTCCTGTGGAGCTCTGCGACCGGCAAGTGCGTGGGCACCGGTGCCAGCACCGAGGTAGGGAATGTGCAGTAGGCACCCTGCACCTCAGGGCCCAGTGTCTGCAAATGGTCTATAAAGGAGGAGTCTGCAGCCTCCCCCTGGCAGGAGGGAGGCTGGGGGTTGGGCGTGGAAGGCAGGATCTCAGATTCATACTGCAGGAGCTGGCCCATGAAGCCAAAGTTTGGGGAGATCACACTCCGCCTCTGCTTGATGTAATCGAAGGCCTCCTTTAGGCGGAACTGCTTGGTCTTCATGAGGTAAGCCATGCAGATGGTAGGTGACCGGGAGACCCCAGCCTCACAGTGGACCAGGACCTTGCCTCCCTTTTCCCGGACACAGTCTGAAGGAAGAAACAGAGTGACAATGTGTCAGAACTGGAATCTAAAACAGAAGAATTCACCACTAACATGACCTAGGTATCACACCACGTGCAAGTTCAAGAGCTATATGGTCTTAACTAGATTTCTAGTCTTTAGCACCAATGGTGAGGACAGAGATTCTCACTGATGTCTGTCCTCACGTGAACCTTTAAAATCCTTCCCCAGTCCACTTGCACAGATTTGGCCACTGGAGGTGCCAGACCTGGAAGAAGTTATCTTAACTTGGGTTCTACTGATGAGGTTCAAAAAGGCATTGGAAGCTGGGCACCAGTGGTTCATGCCTACAATGCTAGCTACTCAGGAGGATCCCAGTTTGAAGCCAGCTGGGGCAAATAGTTCAGAGACCCTATCTTGAAAAAAAAATCACAAATAAAGGGCTGGCAGAGTGGCTCAAGGTGTAGGCCCTGAGTTCAAGCCTCAGTACCACAGAGGAAAAAAAAAAAAAAAAAAAAGGGCACTGGAAAAATCCTTGAAATTGCCTGCAAATTTTTGTTGGATAATCGTATTTCTTTTTCTGAGAGTATCCGAGGCTCATCAAAGACTCACTTGGAGAAGCAATGCCTGCCTCTCCAGGTTGGACTCTACATGGTGACAACCTAGTCACCATCCTGGTAGAGGCTCTTGTCTCTCGGGACACCTGCCTTGCTGTGCCATGGCAGGGTGCTTGGCTAGATCCCAAGGCTCTTACCACCAAACATACAATAAATAGTGCATGACCACTAATTATAGCCCGGGCTAAGTGACGCTTACTAGACTTACTAGACAAGGATGTAAATGGCTTTTGCAAACTCCATCTTGCTCAACAATGGGAGTCACTGCTATAAAGCTCCTACCATCAGTTAGCATTCTTTAGCTCAGAGTGACAAAAGGAGGGCCCCTCCTTTCCTGTTCTACCATCCCAGCAAAACAGACCTACAACTGCTAAACATGGGAAGAGGTAAAAGTGAGCACATTATCAAATCAAAGCCACAAAAATAGTCTTTCCAATTCCCTCTCTCTTTAGTGAGGAAACAATTTGAGCACAAAGTTAGATGTAGCCACAGTATACAAAAAGCAAGGATTTTGCAGGGCCAGGGAGTTAACCCTTTTACCATCCTCCACCCATCCGCTCTAAGTTCAACAAGTTTGCAAATGAATCTGCAACACCTAAAAGATAAAATTTCTAAGGGGTATGGAAGGAACACTTGAGGTTCTCCATTTAAACAAAAAGCCCAAAGGACACACAGGGCAGCTCATTAGAAGTACCCCAATTCAAACAATTCAAAGAAGCAACAAAAACCCCCTAAAACAAAAGTCCCTGAAAACAAATTCAAAAGGGGAGATCCCAAAGTCCCTAGGATTACAGAATTGCGCCTCTGCTTCTCTGTTGGCTTCCACATGTTAGCAGGCCCAGTGGCACATCCAAGAATGCAAAGGACCTGGAGTGTATTGCTTCTGGAACCCTCTCTGTATCTCAGGGGTCTGCCTCTCACACAGGACTCTTTCCTCAGAAGGAATCAGTGCATATTTCAGAACAAAGTCACTGAGGAGGCCTAGTTCCTCCTTCCATTAGCAGGGCAAGTATCTCGAAAAAAGCATCCTGTGCTTTCAAAACACTGGGCTTGTGTGACTGTGTGACCGTGGACACAGACAGACACAAAACACACAGGATGGGGAGGGCTGGTTCTGAGAACTACATAGAGGCAGTTTCATGGTTTCATTCAGCAGCTATCCAGGTAATTAAACAACAGGCTGAGGGCAGGGCCTTCCCAAGAGCAGAGCAAACTCATCATTTTGACTGCCTCTCCTTGCCAAAGGGATCATGTCAGCCCAGAGGCTCAGGGACAACAAGGACAGGCTCGGCCTTTTGCCTCTGGTGAGTTTCTTGTTAATGTTTCCTGTGCAGCAGAAATTGTATGTGGTAAGCACAGGGCCCATCACATGGCTGAAGGGGACCCTGTAATTGCTACCTGCACTAAGTATGCCTAACACTTGCCTTTTCTTCTCCAATATCCCTTAGAACAAGATACAGGGAAGTATCCAAAAGCTATACATGTAAAAGAGAGGGGGATGTGGTCACATGGTTGGGGAATTTGCAAATTTGAGACAAAAGAAAAATCAGGTCAGTCCCCTAGAGAAAAGGATGAGGGTGAGGGGAGGAGATGTGAAATGGGAGAACAATCTAGGCAACCCTGAGTACTTGGAAATCCTGAGACCTGACCAGGAGAGGGGCCAGGACAGGCCCCGATTTTCAGGCTTACACAATGCAGTAAGTGGCAAGTGCCTCACAGAAATGCAGAAAGGATGCAAAACATGACAAATTTTCTATGCACAAAGCATGGAGCTTGAGTCAAGTGCTATCTTTAATCCAAAATTAGCTAAAAATGCAAAACAAATTGCCTCCAAAGCTGTTTGCCAAAACTGCGGAAAGCTGCTGCGGCCCTCGAGGCTCTGTGCGTAAGTAGTGCTCCCTCAATCCTTCTGTTTGCTTTTAAAAATATCCCAACCTACGTAGAAGGAGGTTCTTCTCCCTGTCTTCCTTGTGTGGAGCATTACGCACAGAAACACTGCCCCTGCCCAGCTAGAAACAATAACAGAAGCGACAGTGAGTATTGCCATGAAATTATATTAATTCATTTATCTTGCAAATTAAAGCTCCTATTAATAGAAACTCAAGTCCTCCCCTTTGCCTTTTCAGTGGTTGTGTCTGTTCTCAGACCTATCTCTGAGTAATTGCATACACAAGACATTTTTCTTTCTGAGCAGGTAGCCCCCATCAGGACATCAAAAGCCAAGAACACAAGTTCCACAGGGGCTTCTGAAAAACAGAGGGGAGGCTGAACCTACCAATGAAGTCTATTGCTTCTTGAAAGTGGGAGCTAATGTCAGCTGTGTGGCTGTCTTCCACAGGGATCCATTTGTAGTGTAGGTGGGTCGTGCAGGCCTCAGAGGTCCGCCGGGAGACATTCAGCAGAGCTGTGATGTCCAGGTTGGCGAGGAACTCGCACTTGGATGCATGGTGGGCACTTCCAAGATAGAGGAAGGGAAGTATTTCAACCGGGCCACCCTGAAGTTAGGGACAGAGGACAACCAGAAAACATTAGATTAGTTTGCTCATTTGGGAGAAGAAAAAACCAAATATGACCTATTTGTTTCTTAAGGTGGGAGGTTCCCTTGCTGATTTCCAGGTAGAGAGAGTTCAGAGTCAGGGCAGTTCAGCCAAGAGCGTGGGTGACACCTCCATTTTGGCAAACTCTCTATCCTAACACGACTATCTTGTGATTGACAGAAAAACTCACATGAGTTGCATTTTTTGGGTACATATCAAGGTTAACATTCCTGTGTTTTATCAAGATGAGAAGCAGTCTGAAGTGATGGGAAGAATCAAAAGGCTAGCACTGAAGTTCAAGCTGGCCTGAGAAGCAGCCCTTGACCCTTGGGGACAGTCTTGGTTTTACCACAGATATAGCAAGAAGAGTTTGACAAAGTGAGCTTTCTCCTTTACAACCTGGACATTTTATAGAAAGTATGCCCTCAATCCTAAAATATTACTGAGCCAGATTATCTGGATTTTAAAAAACAGTAAAATGTACCGCATCCCCACTCCCCAAAACAGTATTTCTTAGAACTGAAAATAACCACTACCTACCCAGAATCTGTAGACTAAGAAAAGCAGTTAGACCACAAAGGGGCTTCCCCTACCCCTGGACCTTCTTCGCACAGGACGCTGGTGTGTGTCATCGCCCACACACTAGGTTTCTAGTTACAAGGACCCAGGCTAAGGGAGAACCAAAGACCATCTACCCTGAGGCGAAACTGAGAAGTACTGTTAGCCAGTTAAGACTCCAGGAGTTTGCACATCACAGGGTTCAAAGATGCCAAGAAAAGGCCAGTGACAGTTGGAACAAGAGGCCCTGGAGACTCAGATGGAAACACTGGGGTGAGGGGACAGTGGCTGAATCTTTGGGAGATTTCCCATACCATCCATCCGTTTCCTGTCTTTCCATTTCCTGTCCTGGAATAAGTGTGGGATGGAAATTCTCAGCCATACCCATAATAGGGAACAGGGCATGTGACTGGTGGTGAGCAGCAGGCAATTCTCAGTTTACCCAGCATTTGGGGTTGCTTTTTCTTTTCTAAGAAGTCAAGTGTTTAAACAAAAGACAGTTTGGCTTTAATGATAATAACAACCAACACTTTTACCAGCACCCAGAACGTCTGGAGGTTTAACACTTCAGAGGTAACTATATGGTACTAATTCATGATAGATCGGTGTGTGGATGACAATATCCACATTTTATACCTGGGTGAGCTGAGGCTCAGATGGGATTAACTAACTTGCCCATGTCAGAGCTGGTTGGTGTTAAGGCTGGGATTGAAACCCAAACCTGATTATTCAGCATGAACACCAGGTTTGTCTGAGTCCATTCCAACAGTTATCAATATGAGAAATCAAGTATTTTAGGTAAAGACAGGAAGGAAAAAATTCCCTCTGTCTTGTCTTTCTTGAGAGAAGTCCATTTGCAACCAACACCTCCCCATACTCCCACCTATACAGAGCAACCTTCCCAATGAAGTGTGGTTCAGAGATTAATAATGTGAATTTGGCTAGGTGCCACTGGCTCATGCCTGTGATCTTAGCTACTTGGGAGGCTGATACTGGGAGAATCAAGGTTCGAGGCCAGCCTGGGCACATAGTTCTTGGGACCCCCCTCCATCTCCAAAATATTAACAGCGAAATGGACTAGAGGTGTGGCTCAAGAGGTAGAGTACCTGAGTTTTAAATTCCAGAGTCCCACAATAAATAAATAAACAAACAAACAAATAAATAAATAAAGGATGTGGACTCTGATATCTGTAAGAACAGCGGTCATCTTCCTAGCTGGCATGATCTTGGAAAGCTTCTTTAACTTCTGAACCTTTATCTGTAAACTGGGGATGATAGTACCTGTCTTCTCATAAGACAACAGGAGATAAGGGAGGCATTAAAACCTGCCATGTTATGCAGCTTCCACTTTCATCTGAGGCCAAAGAACTGACAGCTTATCTCCCACAGGGCAGACACTTAGAAAGGCCAGTCAATCTGAGCAGCTCTGGCCTTGGCTTGAGAGGCACTCACTCTGGACCCAACAACCCACTGGTTCAAGTGGTAGAGTGCCTGCCTAGCAAGTGTGAGGTCCTGAGTTCAAACCCCAGTGCTATAAAAAAAAAAAAAAAAAAAGAAAGAAAGAAAGAAAGAAAATTAGAAACCAGAAAAACAGCAAAGGTGTAGAGAGTTCTCTGGAAAGGGATCTCTCTGCCACTGACCAGCACTGGCTGCTAACCAATGGGTACCAGAAGCCTCCCCATCAAAGAAGCAGGCTGCACTTTTAACTAAGATCCCTCCCTTTCCTGAGTGCCTGGAAAATGCTGACACACCAGGCCTGGGATTCCAGCCAACTGCCCCCTGGAACTTGGCCCAACACACCTTTGAAACTGTATTTCTTTCCCTTTTGTTTTTAAATTTGGCAGTACTGGAATTTGAACTCAGGGCCTTGTGCTTGCTAGGTAAGTACTTATCACTTGAGCCAGGAAACAGGCCTTTTTTTTGCTTTAGTTATTTTTCAGATAGGGTTGTCCTCAGACTATGCCTTCCTCCCTATGCCTTCTGAGTAGCTGGGATGACAAGCATACACCATCACATATGGCTTGTTTGTTGAGATGGGGTCTTCTGAGTGAAGAAACCCGAGTTCAAACCCCAGTTCCTGGCCTGGGGACCCACTAAAGGGAAAAAGAGAGAGAGAGAGAGAGAAATATGGGTGTCTTGGCTAACTTTTTTTGTTTGGGGTGTCCTTGAACCAAGATCCTCCTAATCTCTGCCTCCCAAGTAGCTGGGATTACAGGCACGAGCCACCACATATGGCATGTTTCTTTCCCTTTCAGAGTCTTCTGTTTAGATTCAAGGGGAAGATACCAAAGGCTTTTCAGAAAGCCTAAAGGACAACACATTCTTGCCTGGCCTCTGTCAGTACAGAAGCATTTCCAAGAAGCAGTACTCAGAGGTTCCCCAGATGAGCCTTGAAAACACACAAGGGTTCCTGATACTTGGGTAAAGGTCTGCTGTTCTTTCGAAACAGCTGCCAACTCTTATTTCTCTTTCACTTTCTGGACAAAATACAACCCAAACAAACAAACACAGACCTCCAGATCTGCTGTATGCCTTAGCTTGAACTGAAGGCCAAGGGCTCATTCTACACAGTGAGGTTTTTTTCATGAAAGAAAACAAACAGAATCCTGACCCTGGCACTGGGCTGTCTCCCAGGGGGGCAGACTTTGAGAGCTCTGCTCAAAGCTGGCGGGGGGATGGATCACATTTTTGGCAGCACTTAGAAGGCTTCCTTCTTAGGCTCAGTTTTGAGGGAGTTTGAAAAGATCCTCCCACCAAGTCAGGTGTCTAGGCCAGGGGAGCATGTGGAAAACCAGAAACCTGAAAGAACCAGAGCAGGAGTTCTGGGGGATGAGGGGAACCAGCTGCAGGAGCCTTTGCAAATTGTCCACTATCCTCTGTGAAATATCATGGTTGGATCTGAGCTGCAGTTTCTGCCAGATCTGGAGTCTCACTGCCTTTTCTCCACCCTCCTACCTCATGCTTGGTAACTCTCTGACCTTTAGTGAGTTGTCACAAAATTAAACTTTTTATTATTATCATTTATCATTATTGGTGGTCCTGGTCTTCGAACTTAGGGCTTCACGCTTGCAAAGCAGGTACTCTACCACTAAGCATAATTTTTTGAAGGAAAAAAACTCTACACATTTATAGAAACACAAAGCCCTCTAATTCTTGTTCCTCTGATGTCAGTATCTATAGAACTCTGTAGAACTTTGTACGGTTCTCCCTCAGAGGAGAGCCAGGCAGACTGGTACATGCCTGTAATCCTAGCACTCAGGGGGCTAAGGCAGGAACAAAAAGTGAGTCCAAGGACAACCTGGGTTACATAGCAAGACGCTTTCTTAAAACCAAAACAAACCCAATAAAAACAAAAGCAAAAACCCCTCAGGGAAGCCTGCTTAGCCATCCAAACAGTGGTTTCTCTGTAGCACCAGCCCTTCCTCTCCCTCCACCTATTTCAGTTAAAAATACCAATAAGGCACACCTTGACAGCTTACTGAGTTTCTATGCAGAAACTGTAGTGCCTTAAGAATTATAAAGAACACAGGAAGCCCAAGAAGCAGCTCTGACACTTCAGGGAAACCTAAACCCATATTTCCAAGCTTCCCTGAACCTCCCAAGCCGGTTAATACAAGGTATCTCATCACCTCCCCTTCTCTCTAGAAGTTGCCCAGCATCCTGAGGCTTGCTGGCTCTTGCTGGAAGGATGCCTATTCACTTTTGGATGGGAATGAGTTGGCAAGCCAGAGGCCCTTCTACACTAGATGGTGCCAGCACCCCGATCCACAAAGAACAAACCCAAGCAGGAGGAAGCTAGAAATCACACACCTGATCATAAGCTGGCCTGTAGCTGATGCTGAGCCCTGACTTTCCACACTGACCAATGAGGGCTCGCTCACTTTCAATCTTCTCTTGGGAAATGGGTGTTACGTCCACACAGCACTCAGGATATTCCGAGTAGAAGGTCTCATATCCTCCTTCAAAAACAAACAAATAAGCAAAAAATGAGACAGATGAAATCACTGGTTTCTCAGGCTGTCAGAAAATACCCACAATTAGTCAATGTTCTAATGTGTGAGAGTTAAAAAACAAACAAACAAAACCCAAAAAGGCCACAAAGTCTGGTCATATAAAATACTAAAGAAACCATCAAGTAGTTTGAGGATGGAAAAGGGCTCACATGCATGTGCGCACACGCATTTCTATTACATTTGGTCTAACTTGTGGGATTAATTTACTTTTGTGCAGTACAGGGGATTGAACTCAGGATCTCCAGCTTGCTAGGCAAGTGCTCTACCACTTGAGCCATGCACCCAGTCACAGACACATTTGTAAAAGCCTACAGTTCAGAGAAGCAATGATTAACTTTTTGTGCCTATCAGAAGCAGCTTACACTGTGGAAGGAGCTTTCTGGCATCTGGAAAACATTAACCAAATACCTCCAGAAAACAAAAGCTATTTTCTCTCTTTCATCTAAAAATTAAGGTGTGATTTGGCAAATTTTCATTAATTTATGAGGAGAAAGACTCAAACTAGTTTCTTCCCTAGTCCATCTACTGGAAACAGAAGTACTGATGGCAGATTCACAGAGCGAATGAGATATCTATGAGGTTGCAAGTCAGGGCAGTAAACCAGACTTGCCCTTTCTCACCCCCAAGGTGCTAAAAATACTGCTAGCAATTCCTTCTACAGGTCCAATTTACAGTCATCAATCATCTTAATTACCTTCTAAACCTGACAGGAGCAATGAGGATTTCTGAACTTAATTCTCAGTCCCCATACATAAAAACTACCCCTGTCCCCCTGTGACCACCACCCTTTTAATCTTATTTATTATGCACCCCTCCTAACCCTTCTCCTCCCATGCCCCAAGTGATATGACAACAGTAGCATGAAAAAATCCTAATGTTGTATTTTAACTTTTCTAGACAAATCACTTAAGGTTCAAAACCACTCTCGAAGTCACAGAAACTTGTCCATATAAATAAACCTTCTCAGGACCATTATGCTTCATGGGGAAGAACCAAATGAAAAACTGGCCTGGTGACCCTTAGAAGACCAAGGGTGTGCAGGTAAATGGGCCAGCCTGGCTTAGAAACCCTGTGTTTTCAACCCAGAGCAACCTAAGGCACTTCTGAGAGCCTCCAGAAAACCCATTTTTGTGTTTTTGAGGTCATGTTCTTTCCAAAGGGCCTCCCTCTTCCTTCTGTCTTTTGGAATCCTGATAGCCCCTCAGTGGAGGGCACGCTGACTTTTCTAAACCCCTTCAGTAGGCAAATGGTTAATGGATTACGCGCAGTCTCAATTCCCTCCAAGAAGTTGCAGCCAGTTCCTAGAATGAGTCATACTGCTTCCTCTGGCTCTCAGAACTGCCCCGCCCCCATCTAGTACACCCAAGCTCCCCTGTGGTCACTTGACAAATAGCCCACTGTGCCTCCACAATGACCATGTTCCCTGTCATGATGACAGGAAGCCTGGTTAGAGAGGGATGAAGGGGGATAGAGGTGGAGGTAGCCTATACCCCACTTCCTTCTCTCTAGGAGACAGAGAGAATGCCACAGACTAACATGACCCACACATCCTCAGAGAAGGTGTCCCCAGTCAGTACCGACTGATCACATCCCGCGCCTGGGCCTCAACAGTTTGGGTTCTGGGAAGCCAAGATGAGTGATTTGGGTGGCTGAGGCCTTCCCAAACTTTGGGGTGAGGTTTGGAAAGAGAAGCCTTCAGGCCACCCCATCTCTTGGCTTTAAATAGACCACTTAAGGGCTGGCTGTCAGGAAGAAAGAAAGAAGTGCTGGTGTGGGCTGGATCCCGCCTGTTGACAAAATAAGGCAGGCAGACAAAGAATTTCCTTGTAGTTGAGGGACAGAGAAACAAGGCCCTGACTCTTCAAACTGGGGTCAGGATGAGATTAGATGGTCCCGGTCTTGTACACACTATCATCACAGGAGTGGAGGAGCATTCTTTCTGGTGCCTCACTGGGATTGTAAGTGCCATGACAATTCTTACAGCTGCTTCGACCTTCTTCAGAGCAAGTCTGCTTTTGATCATCACCACATTGCCAGGGGAACAGAGGCAGTACACGGACAATGTACACAAATAAGCTGTGGTCATGCAACTCGGTCTTCACCATCTCATTTTAGCGACTCTTTATCTGGGAGGGGGATTATGGGACAGGTAAAAGGCATTGCCTCAGGTTCAGAATGCCACTAGGTTAAAGCCTGAACATGAGTTAAATCTGGACACGAGTTAGGTAAGGAGATAAAGGAATTTTCCTCTGACAACAGTTTGAAGTTTAGTAGTGTTGTAAGGGTAGCAATTTCTACTGAAATTTCAAATGCACATAACTTTTGGCCTAGACGTTCTCATAATTCTACTAACAAGCCAGTGCACATACAAGAGTATTTGGGTAAGACCACATTGCTTCAAATAGGGGGCTGGAAGCAACCTACTAGTCACCAGGACTACCACAAGTGAAGGGGGACATGTATGTTCTGATATGGATAATGTGTATAAGCTGCCAAGATCTAGCTGGCTGAAATATATAAAATCAGTTTATATTTTTAAAGAAATTATCTGAAGATGATCAAGAAATAGTTGGTGGCTGTCTCTGGGGAGTGCAACTAGGTTCTAGGGTAGGTGAAGACCCACTTTTTATTGTATAAGCTTTGTGCTATTCAAATTTTCACCTAGTTATATGTTACTTCATTATAAAAAAATTTAGCCTGAGTTCCTGAGGCCAATCCCAGAACCACAAAAATAAATAAAACTTTAACCACAATTTTCCTGAGTGCACCTACTTCCTGTGTTCCCAAGTCCCCTTTGGTGAGGGTGGGAAGCAGAGGCAGATTCAGGAGGGTTTCCTGGAATATATCTTTCACGCTGCTAGGAGGCAAGAGCTTTTCCTGTAAGCACTGCTAAGTACAAGAGGCAACACATCAGGAAGAGAAGTGAGGAGTCATTTGTGGGACCTCTCCAGGCTTGGAGAAAGCCATCCTTCTACTCCCTGGGGGTTGGAGGGAGGAGGGTTATCTTCCACCTCTGCTATCTCCCCAAAGGGATTAACAAGGGACAGTCATCAAGAGGTGCTAATAGATGGGGAGCTGCCCGCATGCCCTCTGGAATTTTCCTGGCCTGCAGTGTGTGAAATTCCCCAAGCTGCATGACTTTAAAACAGGGTCCTAATTCTCTCAGCCACTTAACCTGAGTCCTAAACCACATCAATGTTATAGCCCAAGACGTCCAAGTAAAGTCCCAAGTAACAGCGTTGGCAGAGCCTCTAGGCCCTATCTGGGTTAAGCTCTCATCTCTGCACCCTGGACAGGGCTCCCATACATCTGAGGTTGCAAGACAGGAGTAGTCACAGGAAGTGACCCAGAAATCAATGCTCTGGAGTTTCAGAATAATCACCCACCCACACCGGAAGCCAAAGTTATCTCCCCAGCAGGTGAACTGGAGGCCTCAAATCAAAGGACACAGAGTCCCCACACCACACAGCACCCACAGTGCCGGCGTCCCTCCTAAGGTCCTGGCTAGCTGGCTAGCTCCCATTGGGTTTAGGACCAATCCTGGGGATAATCCCAGTCAGGCCCAGGAAGGAGAGGAGGTGAAAGGGTGGGGGAGGATTGTCAGCTCCAAATTGAGTTTGAGAGAAAAACCTAGGAGGGAAGAGGAGGCTAGAGGAAAACAATAAAGAGTAATAAAATGAAATGGAAAGGAAGGGGAATCGCCAGGGTCAAAAAGACAAAGGGGGGGGCGGGTGAAGGCACAGCTTAAGCACTATAATTGTTTAGAAGGGAAGAAAAGGGACACCACGGCGCCACGCTGCCAGAGGGGGGTGAGGAAGAGGGGGTCTTGACCTGCAGATCGCGCCAGATCTATAAGGCAGGCAGGCTCCGAGCCTTGCCCCCAGCAAGAGCGGAGAACCCTGTGTCTGCAGCCGGCGCCCGCGTCCAGCACGAGTCCACGGCCCCCAAACTGCTAAGGAGCACCCCCTGCAGCACAACCCGGCCGCATCCAGCAAAGCGGGCACCCAGGCTGCCTGACGCTTTCGAGGAACGCAGGTGGGGAGGGGGAAAGCTCAATCCGCTGACGCTTGCAATGCCCTCCCAAGCAAGGGCACGTCAAGCCCTGGTGTGCACACTCCGGCAAGTGGTTAGTTTCCCGGGAGGGAACGCAGCGGACCGCAGGGCGCCGGAGTCCCAATGCGGGGTAGGAGGGAGGGTGGCAGGGGACCCCAGGGCCGAGACGCTCACCTTTGAGGAAGTAGACTCGTGGGCCGGCCGGCAGGCAGGCCAGCAGCGAGGTGAGCACGACGCGCGCGGCGCTCTCCTCGCGCAGCTTCTGCCAGTGGCGGCTACCTTGGTCCAGCACGACCACGGCCGCCACGCCGCCGCCGCCTTCCTGCAGCAGCCGCGCGCGCGCCGCCTCGTCGGGCAGCACATAGCGCGCCGACACCGCGCCGCCCCGGGCCCGCCGCAGCACCACCGAGTTGAGGTTGACGTTGAGCGAGCCGCGCACGCTCGAGGCGGCGAAGGCCAGGTAGGGCCGGCAGTCGAGCACCACGCAGCGCGCCGCCGCCTCCTTGCGGAGCATCTTGCGCAGCTGGCGCCCGTCGAGCGACGTGACCTTCATGTCGCCGCCGCTCAGCGGCCCCGCGCCGCGCTCCACGCAGGTGCCCACGGCCAGGGTGCCGGCGACGGGCGAGGCACAGGAGGGCCACCCACGGGGCTGCGGCCTGCCGACGGAACCCAGCGCCCCAGGGGCAGTTTAGTGTTCTTTCCCGCCCCGCGCGCTCCACACCAAACCCGGCCACTTGCTGCCCCAAGAACTGGGGATTCCGCCGGCAGCCCTGCGTTTTATGTGAATGAGCGTGCGTCCTGTGACGTGGCTGCCCATATAAGGCCAAATATGGGTATTTCCCCGCCCCCTCGGCTATAGCCACGCCCCTGTGGGGGCGGGCCAGGCGGGCTCCTGCCTCCACCGCGGGGAGCGGGCGCGGGTGGTTAGTCAGAGGTAGAAAGAGGAAGTGGAAGGCGCCTGTCGGATCTCTCCGTGGCTTCGCGCGGAGGGACTCACTCGCTCATCACCCGGGTCTGCCTGTGGCTTGTCAGGAAAGCCACCGAGCCGTGGTGACCCAGGCTGTACGGGAAGAGGAAGGGAGCATGGGAGTAGCACAATTCGACTTTCAGTCTTGAAGACTTAGGCTGAGACCTGCTGGGGACCGTGCTGGGGAGCCGTCCTCCAGATGAATCCGGAACAGATTCCTGTCCTTACCCAAGTGTTTTAAGTGTGTAAGAGGATGGTATCAGAGATTTGCCTCAAGGTGGGGTATGGATGAGGCGAGATGGGGCATGTGTCGACAAGCATTGAAGTCGGTGGTGGATA